GTGTAAAAAATTCTTATGATTGTCTGAAAATCTAGTTTCATATCTAATTATAAACTTCTAAACTCCAAAAATTTAAAATCAAGTAGATCTATAAACATATGAAAATATTGAAAATAGATGGTCAAGATAATGTGTTGCAAGATGTACTATTTCTGGGACTCGAAATCTTTTTTTTTATATATATATTCATATATCTCAATATCGAGATGATCAATTGTAGGGTTTTTCATTAAAACAACCTTTTCCGATGTATTTTTGAGGTGTATCTTTAATTCTACATTTTAAAGTTGCAACCTTATATGAACTTTTTCCATGTATATATATACATATAGTAATGATCTTATGAGACCCTCCCACACCTATGTGTGTAGGACCCCAAAGGATCACCATTAAATTTGACACAGATCTCTAGAAAAGTCAAGTCCCACACCCATGTGATAACTTTTCTAGAGATTTGTGCCAAATATAATGGTGATCTTTTGGGGTCCTACATACATGGGTGTGGGAGGGTCTCATAGGATTATTACTCATATATATATGGAAAAAATTTATATAGAGCTGAGGCTCTAAATAATCAAATTAGAGCCCACCTAAAAAATTTCACTATGAGAGGTTGTTTTGATGCCCAAATATCTTCATATCGATCATCTCGACATCAAGATCCATAGACATGAGAAAAAAATGTATTTCAAGTTTTGGAAATAGTACATTGTGTAACGCATTTTTAGACCGTCAATTTTCAAGATTTTCAAGTTTCATAGATCTGCTCGATCTACATTATTTTTGAAGCTTTAAATTTTATAATTGAAGATGAAAATATATTTTAAGGCTATTATATACATTTTCAGTATTGAAAGCACATTTCTCGATACTATTTGAAGGTGCGCTTTACTATTTAGAATACCATATATATATATATATATATATATATATATATATAGTAGGAGTATAATACATGCAACGGTTGTATAATAATATAATGAAGCAACCTTCAAAAATTATATAAGGGCTATTTGTTTGACCCAAAAGTTTAAATATACATTTTTCTCGTTCTAATGAATAATTATAAAAACGAAAAATTTGAAAGAACCCGGTTTCACTATGGCCAAGCCCACACATGTTGAAATGCGGGCCTATAAATAAATCTACTTTTGAGGTGGATTTTTTGACTTAATTTTTAAAGACATGTAATATTTAACATGTAGATCATGAATATGAAGAAATAAGTAAATTTTAAAAATTAGAAATAATAATTCTAGTAGGAAAACATTTGGACCATTAGTTTCCATTGTTTTTAGATGGAACACCTACTTGCATCCATCTTTAAGATGGATCCTTTACACTTTCTGGATCGCATATGTAGTCATGCGGTCTAGTCCGCATGAAACAATTTTTAAATTTGAAAATACAGCCTAGAAAGTATTCTTTTAGCCCATTTAACATAGGCTGTCTATTTTGGTGACATGTTTAGATCTAGGCTTCTCTTTTTTGATAACTTTATTGTCATTGGTGTGTGTATGGAAAAAGTCTATATAAGGGTGAGGCTCTAAATAGTCAAATTAAGGCACACCTCAATTTTATTAAAAAAAGTTGTTTCGATGCTGAAAAACCTTCAATTCGATCATTTCAACTTCAATATGTAGGGACATGAGAAAAATAGATATCAAGTCTTGGATGCATATTGTAGTGAATAAATCATCAATTTTAAAGATTTTCAAGTGTTTATAGATCTGCTCAATCTCTACCCTATGTTTTAACTTTACATTTTATAATAGAGATTTTTTAAAATAAAATTTCAGGCCATCATAAAAATTATTGATATTGGAACAACATATTTCAACAATATTTGAAGGTGCGCCCAATCAAAACAAGTAAAACCCACCTCATAACTAATCGAAAATTACAATTCAAGTATGGAAAAAGCTTTACATCAATCATCTCGGCTTGAACATTATCGTGTGAAAGCAATTAAGATTTGAAGTTCTAAAATAGTGTACATTGTAATAAATTATTCAGACCATCCATTTCAACTTAAAAATAAGTTTATAGATTTGCAAGATCTATACTATTTTTTGAGTTTCAAAATTTATTAACGATGTTGAAAATTGATTTTAGAGCTATCATAGAGATTTCCGCTACCAAAAGCATTTTCCGGACAACGATTTGAGGTGAGGCTTTCTTTGTTTGTGGTGAATCAGTGATTTGACCATCTACTTCGAATGGGGCCCTCTTCCAAAGGTGCCACTTCAGAGGGACAAAATCCTTGAAAATTGGAAGTAGTGCAGATCTGTTTTTGGAACTGTGTAACTAGTGTAGATCTTGCTAATTTCTCTTTCTATGAATTTTTTATTGATAAATTACTGAAAGAAAAACTTCATATAAGAGTGAGGCTAAAAACAATCAATTTAAGACACACCTCAAAATTTCCCTAGAAGCGGTTGTTTGATGCTGAAAAATCCTTAGTTCAATCATCTTGACCTCAAGATTCGATCATCTTGGCCTCAAGATGTACCGATATAACAAAAATAGATTTCAAGTAATAAAAATAATGCATCTTGTAATGTATTATCTCTCTTTTTTTTTTTACAAATATTACTTTATTTCATTAATAAAATCATGTCAAATAGTATAATCAAGATAGATAAAAAAGAACATTCACACTTATGAATCTGATACCACCAAGGCCTGCTCAAAAACACCACACCTGACTGATCCATCCACAATCTCATTATGCAAAAAAAAAACACAGTCCGAAGCCAACTCCATAACCTTACGCCAATGAGATATCAAAGTCCAAGGGGGTTTAGATATATGATTACACCAGTTGATCATGTTTAGAGAATCTCTTTTTGCCACGCAATATTCATCGACCCCTTTATCTTTAATAAGTATCAAACCTTGCAACAAAGCCCTCATCTCAACTTTACGTGTTGTTGTATTACCACAAGGCCGTCCACAACAAAATAATAATAAAAATAAACCGCCCCTTTTGCATCCCTCCACTATTATAATTGGCGGGTCCTGGATTGCCTAAAGAACTACTGTCAAAATTTAAGTTCGCATAACAAAGCCAAAGGAGGACTCATCTTGACAAAGTGCATCAAACAAAGGCTAGGAATGTTCAAATCAACACCAGCTTAGAAATACCAGCATCATCCTTTGTAGATGAGAACAACCCCGCACATTGTGTAAAATCTTATTTTTGATTCTATGGATCGGAAGACATTATAGTAATGTAATGTATTATCTAGACCATAAATGTTGAAGTGTTCAAAGATCTACTTGATATAGACTATTTTTTAATCATAGTCTTATATTAGATAAAAATAAAATTTCAAGCCATCACAAAAATTTCTGATACTGAAGCAACATGTTTTGACACTATTTGAAGGTACGCCTTACTTTGATTGTTTAGAGCTTGGGCCTTATGCAATCCATACCCTATTTTTCTTTTCTCTTTTCCATATTTTGATTGATTAGCCGCCTCCATGTTTTCTAAAGTGATTTTGACTGTTTAAATCTTTTGGTAAAAGAACATGTTCTTTTGGAAAAACCAAAAGGAACATGTTAAAACACATGTTAGAGATACGTTTTAGTTCTCAACTTTTGGAGTGTAATATGTACAACCCATTTACTAATCTCAATAAAAATTGTTTAAAAGTAAATTCTTTATGTACTAAAAAAAACTTAAGGCTCGAGATTGAATAAAAACCGTTCAATTTTTTAAGGCTAAATCTAAGTTTCAAAAGATTCAAAATTCAAATTCTTTTTTCTTTCGAAAATAATCATCATATGTGGTTCCCAAAATTCTAGACGAAAAAATCTTCTTAAATGGTTGCTTTAAGTGAGGGAGTAAATACACAATACGCTCCCGCAGGAGCAAGGTATATAGGTTATTTTCTTTTTTTTACCTATCACACACATTCCCATTATATAAAGGAGCCTTTGCCTCGCTGATGGATTTCTCCCATGGGATCACGAAGGACCGAGCGAAGGAACTCATGGCTTTCCCCTCGTTGGGTCTAAGGTCCCTACTCTAAACTCAGTACCACTTGTCTCACCAGAGAGAGAGAGAGAGAGAGAGAGAG